TCTCACTTGTACGCGTCAAACTAAAGCTTCACTTGAATGGTTCTTGCAGGAACCTGACCTCGGCATATGCCCGATGTAGCCCCATAACTCAAGTTCTAGGTCTCAAGTGAATTTTGTCTCCCAACAGCAAGTTATGATCTCGAAGTACAAAACAATGATGCTCATATCTTTAGCTTATAAAAATAAGCAACACTGGGCATTTGGAGGTCCGGGGTTCTGCTTAACTTTGTTGGTAGGACTTGGGTGAATACAATGTCTGAGCAATAATTGCTAATTTTCTAATAATGCATCATTTACTCAATCAAAGTGCAATTTCCACTGTTGAACTAATAATTTACCAGCAGAAAACGTTTTGCCAAATATGCTTTGCTTTTCAGACACAGTTGGACGAAATTAGTTTTGCGTAAGTGATGGTAAAACACAGGACACATGTATGATGCCCATAGCGAGTGTCATCTGATGGCATTCATGGCATTACTTTGCCCGTTGGTGCGGATAAGTGTGGGTCAGTAAATTGGACAAAAAGTGGTTTATGTTGCTGAAATGGAGTAGGCGACTTCGTAACAAGTTAACTAGTAAGTCAAGTGAATTCAAATGGGTGAGAAAGAGGAATAAACTCGAATCAGCTGTACAAGAAGGGAATTGGGGATGTTTTTGGCACCTTCTTACTCTCAAAATGAATAAAATCACAAGGTATATGCACTCATGCTTACATCTCTAGGTATTTGCTCAATATTTTTGTAAGAAACTGCTTTATCTTACACGTTATGTATGGACGTAATGGACTTTGATCACAGGAATACTGCTTTCAACGTCGCAGGACCGCGCGCATGATTGTTCAAGACCACAAGGGAACTGCATTTCCCTTAATTCCATGCCCATATAACCAATGTGATTCAATTGTTACTCACATCTACCCTCAGTTACATATGTGAATATTAGGTTTAAATCACTAACAATCTGCATTCATGCCTACATAGACAGCATACTGACGAGGTAAAGCGCAAGATTCATACATTCATGCTCATTTGCATACAGGTATAACCCAATTAAGTAAAAAAGAAAACTGCAATCTCTTGCAGTTGCCTAGGAAGTTAAGCAGTGCAAATGAAAATGAAAAGGCATTCACGTTTATTTTGCTGGACGCACATCATCATCACAAGAAATCTGCATACATACTCCATTCGAAACGTTTGCGCACGACGTAAATTGTAAGATATTTTTGTCTACTCTCAGTTGCACAAGTTCATATTGGACTGAAATCCCAAGAAAACAGCATTCGCTACCTACTTTCACACTCATTTTGCTACTCACATGATCAAGTTAAACGGCAATAACTCGGCCATCGTGCATAACTGATATAATTCACAAGAAGTCTGAGTCCACTCTTACTGTTCTACCCACATAATCGACGCAAATAGCAAGCGGTCTGAATTCACACCTACTATCATGTGTAGAACATCTTCAGAAAAGCAAAAAATCTACATTCAAGCTCAAATTTACGCCTACTTGATCGAAATGCGTCACCAGAAAGTAGCGTTTTGGACTAATTCCATTTCTAAATGTATACAGTTGTGATTGAGGAGTGGTCAGAGTCACCCGAATCAGCCTAAGAGCTCAGGGTCCCACTCTTCATATACCTGTGCCTGTTTCCGTCGACTCCAACCTATTTGCATGTCCCAACCCAATCAGCACCTTCGATCTAGGGGTATGAAGGTCAGGGAAGAGTAGACAAACAAGAATCGTGCTACAAAATCACGACAAATCTGAGTCCACACTCACAGGCTTTCGCATACAGTTGATTTGATTCTCGAGACCTCGGCATTCACTCCCACTCACACAGGCCTGTAATAGACGTAAAATGCGAAATCTGCATTTTAGCCTACTTTTGCACATATATTTGATTTAAAATAGCGGAATATCAGCATTCACACACAATTACATAAGCGGAACTTAGATATGCATCCCATGGAATTTCTATTTTGTTTAAAAGCCAATGCAGGCATTCTATGCACGTACCATGGAAGCTGCATTTCCGTTCTCTCATGTACACGGTGAAGTTAGTTAAAATCGGAATAAAACTGCTTCCACGACCTCTCACATTTGAATAAGTCAATCCAAGTCACAAGAAATCTGCGTATGTGCTCACATGCATATGCATATAGTTTATATTAATAACTAGAAAACTGTACCACACCTCACTTGCGTAACCCAAAAATGGATCAAACTACAAAACATCTGCATCCGCACTTACTTACATAAGTATGAGTACAGTTATTTTTCAGAGGATCTGAATCCACTCTCCTCTACGTAATTATGGCAATAAATTTGAATTGCAAGAAGGCTGTGTCAGCAGTTGCCTCGAAGTGGTATTCCGATCTGATAACTTTCAGTTCTTATGGTAAAGTGTCTGCATTCTGTCGAGACTTCTAAATGAATGTGTGATAGATTAAGATTCCTGAGTTGATGGCTATGTTGATGGAAGAAATAGTGTGCAAAGCACACATGGTTAACTTGCGTGGGCTTGTTGGTTATCAGAAGAGAGACTGACGTAGATTAAGACTACGCCTCAGTGAGGGCTTTCAGTTGCACTTAATTGCGGTAACTGATTAGCTTTGGCCTTTAAGTAGTCAAGAGAGGATTTAGAGCAACTTAGAGTGGATCTGGACCACTCAAAGAGGACTGAGTTAGATGATGACTCCCTAGAATGTTCGCAGACCGGCAATACAGTGAAACCTCCAGGTAGTCAAAGAGAAAGGTATACTTGGGTTGCAAACACCTCAGAAGCATCAAGTCGGTATTGTCGAAGGAAGGCGAAGAATTCTTAGAAATTGACTACCGTAGCTTGACCTCAAACAGAGTTATGTTAGACATAACGCTACACCTCCACTTCACTGGACCAATCGTTGATATCACTCGCACTGTTCTGCTAGATGCCTGTTTAGAGGAACCGGAGATGGCACCTGTTATGCCCACATCCACCTGCAGTCATGAAGACGCCACAAGTGCTACTCCACCTGCCTAGTCACCGGAGACTGCCAAAGACCTAGGTGACTTAGGGTTAACGGAACACATTTAACTTAGGCGGAGTTCTATTGCTATTCATGCCAATATGTCATGTCGCAAAATCGAATGTCTATGTGTGATCCTCAAGCAAACGGCCAAGTGGAGAGGTCAGCTGGAGAGGTTAGCGGCTGTCAATTTCACAGCCAATATCTTACAAGAATCTCTGCTGACATTTTAAACCACACGAACTACTCGCAATGCCCAAACAACTCGCACGACTGGGAATGATCCTGTACGCAACCGCCAATCACCAGCCGAACGATACTGGAGAAGACCCTTTCTTCGATCGGCACAATGATGACCGTATTGTTGTGCAACGATTCCAAAGGTCATCTGCCTCAAGTCTGTCCGATTAGCAGTCGGAACACCTTCGATACTCCTGTGGAAAATTCTACACAAATTTAGAAAAGTCATTGTGCAATAATATGGGAAATGAGTCCTGCGGTCAGCCGCGTGTACCATACATTGGGGAAGCAGCAACATAAAATATTGCTTTATCGATGAACACACCACCGGACACTTTTCGGATACCGCCTCCACCTATGGACTCTGCTTCATTGAACGAAACACAGGTAAAGATCCATGCCGATCTACCACTTCTTTTCGAAGGGAAGAATAGAGAGATGCAGGTGGTGGCTCCATTCTTAGTAAAAGTTCCCGTTTCCACCTTCTAGAAATGTTTATTTTCTTGACAAATTCTTGATCGTTCTACATAGTTACACTTTCTTCACCCTCGCATGCATAGGTGAATTGTGACTGCGACCACGTGTAATGCGATTCAGTACATGTGGCGTGACCTGGTTGGGCTGAGGTGAAGTACGGACTTGGTAAACGTCTCTGTCGCTTCACTGAACCAACGAGGTATCATGCCTGAGGTTAGCCAAGCGTGAATACAGCGTTGATGATGTTGTTGTTTACAGCATAGTAGAGGGATTTTGGCTCACCTGTGCTCAGCAGACGATCGGGCAAACAGACCTGAAGTCTAGCAAACGAGTGCAGATTTCCAAGTCAGTGGATGACAGGAAACCAGAGGTGATGCTGGTATATTTGAAGCGATTGCCAGTCACGGACTCCAGGTTGAAGTGCTTGAACTGGTCTCCAATCCTTCATGCATAGGCCGTGTGGTCCTCATCACAGCACCTTGTCAAATTCGGACAGTTGAAATGCAGATGGAACAGTGTCGTTTGTTCATCAAAAAATGTCCTTCAGTAAAGACACGAATCAGTTGGACTTCGCATACATTGAACACATGGACAGAATGGAGTTTGTGTATTTCTGGCATCGACTCATCTGCTCCAAGTTTCCATCGCAAAAGTCGGACATTCCACTCTCCACCCGTCATCCGTGTCACTAAACTCAGATTTGCACTTTTGAGCAGATAGCAGTGTAAGCAGGACTGTGAGTACCTGCAGCAGTTTGAGCCTCGACGATTGTCTACACCGAATTTCTTTTCGTCATTTTTTCGCACTGTTTTGCCTATATACTTGTAGACTGGATCGTACGCAGCTCACTGCCAGATTATCAATGGACACGACTCCAAAGTAATGAATAAGTGAAAGGGTATACAGTGGTTATGTACGTGCCTGACGGCTAGCTACTAGTGGTTGCCTGCGTGTGAGTCCGTGCGCTAGTAATGGTAGTTACGCGTTGCTATCGCAACCGGCTACTGAGGCTTGGCCGCATTGGAGCTATTGTAAGCAAACTGGCAGCGAAAATGTACCTATACTTGATATGAGCCAATCAGGAGGAAAGGTGTTAGAGCACGACTCTCTTTAACTGGAAAGTATTGGAAGTGGAATGAGAATGGGATCTGAGGGTGCAAGTTATCCCCATCACAACATCGACAAGTGTGACTGTTCCAGCCACATTGCCTGATGACTGCAATAACAGGAATAAATAAAACAATTGGAATCTAGAAGAAGTAATACAGCTTGATGTTACAGAGCAGAGACAAAGTAGCAAGTGTCAAGGTCGAGACTTCACACATATCTCATTGGATACCCATCAAGGCATTTCATCGTGAGCTAGTTTCTCTAACCAATAGTTGGCGAGATCAATTAAAGTAAATTCAGGACCCTACTAGGTCAGGATAACGCTATCAGCTC